TTTCCCCTCCCTCCCCGCTCCCCCCTCCCTCATGAGCCCTTGATAATTTGGTTCACCTTAGAAACAACCTTATTAATTTATGGTAGAGATTCTTATTGATTATCTTCCTGGAATATAAGGACCTTCTGTTTATAGTGTCGTTGACTAACTCATAGTAGTTAAAACACTTATTGGAGATTGAACAAGTGCAGGCTAATTAAAAAATGCAAGACATGGATTAGTCACCTGTAAAGAATAAATCCTTACGTGACTGGAAGCTATTGGCACCAACAATAGGAGTTGGTGGTCAGGTAAAACTTAAAATAATATTCTCTGACAGTGTCAGACCCAGGTATGCCAGAATAATACATATCTTAATAAGTAAATAGTCCATATTCATTTTCTTTTGACCTGTGTTGCCCCTGTCTGGATAAAGGCTCTGGAGGGTTGGTTTACATTTACTGCTTACCATCTGTGTCTAGGACATAGATGACCTTTGGAAGGTAGCTATTGAAGGAAGGATCAACATTGTTCCAAATGGTCCTTCCATTTTCATACTCTCTTAGGGACCAGCCCTCAATCCAAACTCACCAACATGCTACCATGGAGTCAATTTATTATAGTGACTCTATAGAACAGAGCAAACTTGCCCCTTTGGGTTTCCGAAGCTGTCAATCTTTATGGACAGGAGAAAGCCTCATCTTTCTCCCAAAGACTGGCTGATGCATAACTGGCTATGCTACTGTCTCTCACCCAAAGCAGATCCTAATAGAACCTTGGCATCTTAAGCAGATCAACTAGAAATTGAATGTAGTCACGTTTCTGAGCATGTGACCTCTGCCAAACATCATTGGGTACTTTCACATAGAGCATCCCATGAGTTATTACAACATTTTTCAGGTAGATGGCAACTTCAGTTGTACAGAAAACAGAGACTCTGACTTCTGGAACTTTCCCAGGTTCACACATATAGTAAGGAGCCGAGTTGGGAACTGGACTCAGGTAATCCAAACTGACTGTGTGTATTAGGCTACTGACCAACTGGTTGGGCCAGATACTTGCCAACAGAGGGGACAAAGTGGCTGAGGGAGATGAGAGTGTTAAGTAGGCAGAGATGTCTGAGTGGGGACTGATTTCATAAAGAAATATTTCACTTGCCAACATATTTGTATTTTGATGCCTTTGCCTCGCCCCACCCCTCAAGAAAAATCAATCAGAAGCCAGCTTCCAGTGTTTTTGTGAAAATAAATGAGATAACCAATACAACAAAAGTAGCAGAACCCTACCTACCTATCTACCCACCTACTACCCTGCAATCAATTCCAACTCCGGCTGCCATCCTGTGTCTCTCCTGTCTCTATCCTGCACAACCTGCCAGTTGTGCTCTGGAGAACTGCATTCTGTCACAGGCAAATATCCCAGCGGCTCTTCAATGTTGCACATTATTACCTAACTATCTATCATTACCCACATTGGCAAGTGTGGATCTGGGGAGAGGGGGAATGGGGGTGGCCGATGAACTCCTTCCATTCCTGGACTGCAGGAGCAGGGAGGATAGCAGAGAGGGGAACTCTGGTGTGAGGTCATCTGGCTAGTTCTCAGAGGCTCTCTGGGAGCCTGGGATTATGACCACTTTTAGACAGCAGCCTGGGGAAATTACTGCTCACTGCAGGCCTCATATTTTGGGCGCAGGAAGGAATGGCAGACACTATCCTGCTGGACCTGACAAAGGTTTAACAGAGCCTGCGGACAGACGCAGTGAGCTCAGAGCATTTCAGCGAGTTCTCGAGTGGCTTGGTGGGTAAAAATCACAGGGAGAGGTCTGAACTAGACCCTAGTATACTGAATCTACTTTTAGCACCCAGCCTCCAAGTACTGACCTCCTGACCTCTTAATTTTCTAGTTGAGCAACAGGTGCGGCAGGCAGGTGATTTTACCTGGATGCCATCTTGACTCCCTCTGGAGACTAGTTCTTTGGGATACGACGTCTCTGTGCATCTTTCCATATTCTCTCGATACTTCCTGCATCATTCAATATTTTGCACAGATCATATTTTAATTTGTACCTCGATGTTTGAATTTTTCCTGTTATTTCAGAATAAGGTATGCTGAACCTGAACCTATTGTTCCTTTCTGGTTTTCTAACTCTATATCTTTTCACCTTACACTCTAATGTTTTGTCTTCTCAAG